TAAATTATTTTGACAATGAAAATCAGGACTAATATGGTAAATTTTAATCTTTAAATACATTTTAATAGGATAGAGGAATATTCCTAGTCCTTAACATGTGCTTTGACTTGGGAAATTTATTGCTTTCAAACCTATTCTGAGCTAATTTATACATAACGTTACTTAGATGCTTTTACAACTTCTTTGTTCTCTGGCTAGCTATCTGCAAGTATCATTTTACTTTGGTCACAGTGATTCTTCAAATACAGGATGAAAAAACTCAGGACTGCCTATAAAGTCATTAGGCAAAGGTAGTTCTTATTTCTGGATAAACCTGGAAGTTTGTGTCAGCAAAGAGTGATTTCTGAAAACATAAAAAGAATCCAAATAAGGAGTGGGCATCTGATGGAGGAAGGACAGAGAAAGAGGAGAAGCCTCCTTTGACAGGAGTATATCTACACTAGTTCTTGCAATGCTCCATCTTCCTCCCCTCTCTGGTTTCAAGGTTCTCTTTATCATAAGACAAACAAGCAACAAGCAAAGACAAAGATAAAGAAAGAAAAAGGAAGAAAGGAAGAAAGGAAGGAAGGAAGGAAGGAAGGAAGGAAGGAAGGAAGGAAGGAAAGGAACTTTGATGAACCAGTTCTATCCATCAGCAGGAATACAAGAAACAGCTGTAAGGTTAAATTAAGCCCTTTGAATTAGGTGTACCAATTTCAGTGATGACTCATAAAAAAAGTTATACAAACTACCTAAACCCTGTGCTCCTTCATTTCCTGGATGCTTTCAGAAATGAATGATGCTTGATCCCAAGAATCATGAACTAGATCAACATTTCAGAGTTCTTGGAGAATATTTAATTCCAAGCATTTCCACCACTTCAGTAATTATGCTGATTGGATGTCACTCTTTAAACTTTGATTATTTTCTGCAAGTTCATGTCAGTGACTATATCTATTTTTCTAGCTTCATCACCTTTGTCCTTGGCTTCCTTGTTTCATGGATTTCTCTCCCCTGACTATCTTTGCTGTCTAGTTGAGCAGCAGTGAGACTGCTTCTGATGGTTCTTTGATCCTAATCAAACCCTGCAGCCCCTGCTTATTGGGATTAGGACTGCTTCTCTTCACAGCTACTGGCAAGACATTAGCACTTTCTTCCTATGCAGAAAGGATCTGTGATAAGACCCACAATATTTTCTTTTGTTATTCTTTAATCCTTTTTTTACTGTCCAGCCTTTATCCCCCTCCTGGTCTGCCCTCATCCCATACCCATGTCTCCAAGAGGATGTCCCCACCCCCTCATCACCACACCAGCAGACCTCCTCACTCCCTGGGGCCTCAAGTCTCTCGAGGGTTAGGTGCATCTTCTCTCACTGAGGCCAGACCTGGCAGTCCTCTGCTGTATACGTGTCAGGGACCTCATATCAGCTGGTGTATGCTGCCTGATTGGAAGACCTACAATATTTTCTAACAAATGCACAGTTGACATTAAAACACATGTAATTTTTGTCAATGGACCTTTGCCTTATTTATCTATAAAGTATTCTTTGTACCTTGTATATCAACCTTCCTGTATCAAGGGTTTGTCAGCCTTTACTATGTAAGCTGAGTGTGGGGTAATGTCACCTTTACATTTTTGTAGCTAAGGATGACACCTGAGCTTATCCAGCTTAAACCTTTATTTCTATAGATAAGGAAGTAGACACATTGCTCATCTAAGGCTCCACAACACATATTGATGGAGTAGGATGAAAAATCATGGATCCCGGGTTAACAGCCAACTTCTTTGGGCCTAACACACTTGTACTGGTGAATCTGGTTGCGTCAGCACTTGCCAGTTAGGCTGAAGATAAGCGTATGTCCTTGTCTTCAGATGATGCGCGAGCGCGCACACACACACACACACATGCACACTTTATTTAATTTCATTTTATGTGCATTGGTGTGAGAGTGTCAGATCCCTTGGAACTGGAGGTACAGACAGTTATGAACTGCCATGTGGGTGCTGGGATTGAACCTGGGTCCTTTGGAAGAGCAGACAGTGCTCCTAACTTCTGAGCCATCTCTGCAGGCCCAGTGTTGCACTTTTTATTTCGGCCACCTCCAACTATAACCTTGTGAAGCAGAAGTGGAGAAGAGGGTTGGCAGAGATCCATGCTCTCACTGGAGATACATATGCAGTGCGGATGCTGCTGTTATCTTTGTGCCTCTAAACAAGAGGTTACTTCTTAGAGACAGCAGTCCATTCTTCACTCTTTGATAAGCAATTAATTCTCTGTGAAACATGTACTGTTTTTTTTCCAGGTTAGGGTCTTGTGGAATTCATAAGACAAGATAAAGGTGAATACGAGAAATTATTTTCAAAGAGTTGGATCCTTTTGGCCAGTGAAACAGCTCAGTGAGCAGAGCCACTTTCAGGCAGGCCCACAACCTGAGTTCAATCCTTGGATCTCATAAGATAGCACTCCAGAACCAAGGAGCCAAGTCTTGAGAGTTGTCCTCTGACCTTCACATGTGAGTGTGCATGGACATGTGTGTGTGCGTACACACACACACACACACACACACACACACACGTTGAACCCTTAAACAGAAGTACACATATCTCAAAACCATGAAGTTAATTTCCTTCTCTATTTTGTAGGCTTATTGTATAACTTGCTGGTATGATATATATCCAAGGAAGGACACAGACAAGCATGGAGCAGAAAGCTGGTTATTCACAATTGTCAAGGTTTATTGTCTGCCACTGGATGCAGGTTTCATCTGCCAGAGGTACTGTTCTACTTTAGTGGAGAGGGCCGAAAGAGTAAAGTCAAGCCAGAAAAGGGAAATTAATATCCATTATATTGTAAGTTAGTATTTTTGGAATATAAAATTAATACATTTTGGGAGTAAAATACTCAGATTCTACTTTCAAGTATAAAGTGTAAGGATGAAGTTGTGTCTCATCTAGTATATTCTCCTAAATATATATTGTATATTTTGCCACAGCTCAATATTAAATATGGTTTTCCCTACTAACCCTAGTTATAGCGACACAAGTTCCTGTTATTTAAAAAATGGTTACAAACAAGAGATTTGTATGCATAGATGGTAACTTGGCTTTTTAAAGATTAAAAAATGAGAAACATCAGGAGGTAAAGATCTCTCTCTCTCCCTCTCTCTCTCTCTCTCTCTCTCTCTCTCTCTCACACACACACACATACACACACACACACACATGCAGGAACATGTGCACGTACACAAAGCATGGGAGGGCACTCACTACTGAACCGTTTCCAAACGGATAACCACAGACACATAGCGCTCTAAGGTTTTATCATTGACTACTTTTTCAGCTTTGTTAACTGGAAGAACCTATCAGTGTTTGGATCTCTGTCTGTCTCTCTCTCTTTGTGTGTGTGTTCAGTTATAACTGCTAATTTTCTAATCAGTCTGACCAAGTGGTACATGTCAAAACTTTTTTCCTGTAGGAGGCCACAGTTGGTGCTTTCTGTAATTACTGAGATATGGCTGTCAGGATCCAACATCCCTGCGTTTACATTGCCTTGACTTTGCTCATGAATTCCTGGCTCTCTCTTCTGTTAGGGGCCTGGCTTGACTAGCTAGCTGCCTTTTTATCAGTGGCAATCTACCAAACCCTGTAATGTGCTCAGCTCAGGGCGGAACAAATCAGTGTTCTACCTCACAATTTAAGGAAGGCAGGGGGCTAGTTTTTGTTTTAAGATAAAAATCTTTTGACAAAACACAAACTCCCCAAAACTTCCTTTAAACCAAAAAGCATTGTCACATCCACAAAAGCTCCTATTACTTACACAGCCTGATGACTCAAGATCACTAACGTTTCTATTCATAAGGACTTTGCTGGCCCATAATCAGTACACCAGGCCTTCCCCCATCTTCCTTCACCCTCCCCTGGGAGACTGACGTTTGGAGTACCTCATTTATTAGAAAAAAGACTGTGTTTCTGCCGGAACTGTTTGTCCCGGGGCTTTAAAAAAAGTCGCCCTTAAGATCCTTTTCAAGTTCATTGACTGAAGTGGGGAAAGTAGGTGACAATAGGTTGTAAGTTTACTGATGACCAGAGTATCCCACTGAGGAATCATTTACAATGACGTTCCTGTTCCTGTCACCCAGAGACAGGGCTGAGGCAAAATGCAGGAGCCCTGCTTTCTGGAAGTTCCAAGGGGAACATTTTCAGCTTTTGCACTGTACCCCAAAAATGGGGCCTCTCCTGCCCTTTGGAGCACCCACTTTCCCTGTAAATTAAAACCAACCACCTCATTCCAGAAAGTCTACTAAACCTGAATGAGTCCCCGAGGCATCGCGCCGGACACTCCCCAACCTTTCCCTGTCGGGGGCCAACACGGACCACACCGCACCGCACCGGGTGGACTGGGTCGGCCCGGAGCGCAGCGCGGCGTCAGTCTGTCCGCCCGTCTGTCCCTTTGCCCGCGGGCTGCGGTCCCGGAGCGCGCGGGAGGAGCGCGACCGCGGCGAGCGGAGCGCGGGCGGCCGGGAGGGGGCGCCGCCCGGGCGCGGCGGGTCCGGGAGGGCGGCGGAGGCCTCGGAGTCGGAGTCGGAGCGCGGCGCGGGGTCGCGTCAGGGTCCCGGGCGCTAGGCCTCCGGCGAGGGCGGTCGCGGGGCTCCGTGCAGCACCGCCCCTGGGGTTGGGGAACTTGTCCCGCTCGCCTCGCCCGCAGCCGCCTGCGCCTCCTCGGCCGCGCTACCTCAGTCTCTGGCCGCGGCCGCGCGGCTCTCGCTTACAAAGGAGGGAAAATGCGGCGGGCGGCGGCGCAGCGCGGGGGCCCCCGGGCGGCGGGGATCGCGGCCGCCCCCGGCACCACGTAAGACGCCCCCGCGCGCCCAGCCTCGGCCCAGGCCCGAGCCCCGCAGCCAGGCGAGCGCTGCGCGTCGCCCGCGGCCCGCGAGGAGGCGGAGGAGCAGGACGAGGCGCCGCCTTCCCCGCGCCGCGCGCCCTCGCCCGCCGTTGTCTGCGCTGCGCTGCGCTGGACCAGTTTCGCGAAGTTGCCCGGGCCCCGCGCCGCCCAGATGTGCGACCTCATTGAACCGCAGCCGGCCGAGAAGATCGGCAAGATGAAGAAGTTGAGGAGAACTTTGTCCGAGAGTTTCAGCCGCATCGGTGAGTGTGGTCCACTGCCCCCCGTGTCCTGCGGGCGATCCCCGGGCTCGCTCTCTCGGTCCCCGCGCCCCCTCCGTGCTCAGGGCACCAACCAGGCAGCTGCCACCTCGGGGTGAGCTGCGGACCAGGGATGGAGGAGGACGTCGCTGAGGACTCCGGACTAAGGCTGGGACCAGCTGGAGGGCCACTCCTCTCCCCCCAGGATCTGGGCTTCATTCGTGGACTGTCTTAAGCCTCCAATTTGAGTTCCTCCTCCCTGCCAATAGTATCTTTGGCGCCCGCAGTGGACTGGAGAGGGGACACCGGGTCCCCACAGCCATCGGGGCTCTGTGGCCACCCAGGTTACTTAAAGAGCGTTGTTTTAAAGTGTTTAGCCAATAATTTAGCTTTGGGAATTGTAGAAACGTTGACATGTGCCTGATGTTGTTTAACGTACTCAACCTAAAGGAAGTGGGACAGATACCTTGGGACCTTTTGTTCCGTACTTCGGGTCCTATAAATGGAGATTTGGGTGTTCAGTTTGTAGGTCTCTGAACCTTCCAGCTGCTGTGGTGAAATGTGAGCTGTGAAGTTGTGGGGACATTTGCGAATAAGTCTCCTGAACTTGCTCCATTTGTGCAGTACAGAGGCTATTGTCTTCTTAAGAAAAAAAAATCAACCAACTTAACAGAGAATAAAGAAACAGCAATAACAAAAAACCATCAAGGGATGTTTAGGATACTTAAAGAATGAATCTGTGTTATAGGCTACAGCGAGATAATAGCTGTGTCATGTGGATTGGGTTTGTTAATCTTGAGTATTGGTGACAGAAAGTGCCTGTTAACCTGGAGGCATAGCTGCTACCTAAACTTTGGTCCTTAACTTTCTTTGATACAGGTACCTGCATAAAGCAAGGGATTCCTATAAGCCCCAAACCAATCCATCAGAGTGTCCAAACATACCTTCTGGCATTTTGTTCACCTGTTATGTTAATGAAAGTTAATTAATTAATCATAAGCTAATTCCTTAAAATAAAACCCTGATGTGCCAGAGAGTGTCAGCAGTCTGTTTCATAGTTCATTGTTCATACATGCAAACTGTCTTCAAGAAAACATGGATAAATGTTTAGTCAAGCTTATTATTATTGCTATTATTATTATTGCCAATTCTGTTTGACAGTTTGCTTTTCCTGAGAGCACTGTAAGTTCTGTGCAGAAGCCATATTAATCGTGCCTTTACTTATTACATGTATGGAATGTAAACAGGCCCACTTCTCTGAGTTAGGCATGTGAATATGGAGTCCTACATTCAAGTGTAGTTTGAAGCCAAGAGGAGTGTGAGAGTGAGGTGAGGAGTCTGTGCATTATTAACAGGGATGTTTCAGGACTGGACCCAAAACACCACCCAGGCGGGTTCTGGAGTCCATTAGGGCCTGTTCTAAAGCACATTAGCTAGATATTTACTAATGCTAATGATGCCATTGGAGTCCCTCCAGTTTTGTGTTAAATAATTCATTGCAGTTGCGTCTCAGTAAGAAACCAAGGGCATTAATATAAAAATCCTGTATGTTTAAATAATTTTAGAGTTTGATGGCCAATCAGTAATATTTGGGTTAACTGCAATGTTGGCAGATAGATATTATAGTTAATTGGGCTTCCTAGGTTACTGAGATTTAGTGATGTGAAAGCACCTTTTGGAGTCCAGCGCTCCTCACAAATGCCTTGTGTGATTATGTGGCTTTTACATCCACTCTTTATGAAACAGTACAGCTCAGTAAAGAAAGCTCATCATTTCTTTATTGAGAGACGACTCAGAAGAGCGGATCTTACTGTGGTATATTGTGAAAGAAAATTGTGACATTTTAAAGTGATTTTTGTCGTGTGTGCACCAAACCCAGGATATTTATTAGAAAGGGCACTACTGAAAAACATACCTTCTCTACTTTCCGGCACATTTAGAGGCAGTGAACTCAGTTTGATGACTGAAGGGTTTTTTATTTTTTATTTTTTTTGGATTGAGAGGTAACACAATGAGAAATTTTTCTATGGGTTCATATAGTTCATAAGCAAGGAATGTGGTCTGTGGTTTTTCTTTTTTGGCACTTGGCGAAGTGATGACACAGTGTCTTGTGTGGCATGCAATGAAGACTCAATAACTGTTTGCATTGTGTTGTCATTATTAGGGATCAGATCATAGTGACATGACTGTATTATAGGTAGAGAGCAAGAGAAGGAGAAGTGGCTACAGACTTGTAGTGTAGCATCCTGAAAACATGGTAGGTTTGGATTTGGACAGTTCTGGGCCTGGCCTTCTGTTTTCCTTGTGTCTTGGGCAACCAGTAATTCACTTAATCTCCCCAATTATACAACTATATGCAGGTGAGGATGCGTACGTTTAAGTGAGACATAATAACAATGTCTGATACATCGTCTTTCACACGACAAGGATCAGTACCAGAAGCTTGTGTTAGTCCTGATTTTTGTTTGCTTTTTTTTTTTTCATTGAGAGATCAAAGGATAAATGGTTTATTCCCATCAAACAACCCAACATTACCATGTATCCCATTACCTAGTCTAAGAGGGCCTTTGACATATACATACTGGCTTTATTTTCTTTTTCTTAGCACTATTCAGATGTAGCTTTGTTAGATGGTGAAATGTCCGATATCATTGTTCAGCCATAAGAAACCACCGATCATTTACCTAGAAAATGATGACAGTTCATGCATGCATGTGTTCTGTAATCAATGGTTGTCTTGAGCAGTGATTCTGAGTACAAAAAGTAGGACTGTTTAATTTGTTATACATCATAGACCATGCTGACTTTGTCAACATCAACCCCAAACATAACTGATCTGAGATTGCTGCGTAAGGTCAAATGGAACACATTGGGTTTCAAGCCACAGGGCTCTGATTTATGACGTCTGCCAGGGAGTGACTACAATAGAGCCGTAGCTCTTTTATAAGATGAGTGTAATTGAATTCTAAAGTCAAGCATCCATTTCCACAGTGACTGTTTCTGGTTTCCTGCTCAATAGCTCAGTGTGGTCACCCGTTTAGGATGCTGGTCTTGTCTTATAGCTGGTTCCCTCCCCTTACCGACTTAAAACTTCTAGGCTAACTAAGGTAAACAGGAAGTTAATTGGTAGGTAGGTTAAATGTGCCCACCCGTTTCTTGCCCCTGTGTCTTTTTTGACTTTACAGGCAGGCTTATGCAGATGGAGACCCTCAAGTATCTGTGTGAACTGACATTCCTTCACACCTGGAGGGAGTCTTTCCTAGAGAAAGGAAGTTTAAGCTTGATACTTGAGATGAGCCCATGTATGTGATTTGCTTAAAGGATGTGGTTGGTGAAAAGAGGAAGATGTGATTAAGGTGAATTTCTGTGGGTTTCTTGCTCTCTGCCGGGGGGTGTGCGTTTCTAGATTGTCATCAGTGAGCCATTCTGTGAAGAAAGATACATGTAAAGTGTAGTGTTCAGGTGTACAGTTTAACTAATGTGCCATATTCTTTCCCAAAGCAGCTATAAACGGTTTTAATTTGGGCGGTGGGTGGAGCTGAGTGAGGAGAGCTTGCCCAGTGTATGTGAGGCCCTGAACTCTGTGCTAGCAACAGGGGGAGGGGAAAGGGGAAGAAGAGGAGGTGGGTATTATGGTAATGGGACTTGAGTTTATGGTTCTTACATTAAAAATAGATACAGATTTCATTTGCCAGAACCTTAGTGTACATTAAAATATGATGTTCTCTCTCTTTGCCACTGAGGTAGGACTCATTAATGCCTCATGTAACCATATGCCTTCTGGTACTAGATACTGTCCTCGCACCAGGAGTTAGTTCGAGATATGGGTGGAACACAGCCTAGTGAGTGGGCATTGCCAGTGTAAATTGCAGATTTCATAGTGAAGATTAGTAGTGAACTTGCCATTGGAGGACAAGCGGGATCTCTTCGGTGAGTCACTAGGAAGCCTTTGGGAACTGTGGCTGAACTGAGGACCAGATAGGCTCGCTGATCATATTCAACGACTTAATATCTATCCTTTTGTTAATTCAGAGTAGCACAATCTGGTTGTTGTCCCACGACATCCTCGAGGACAATTGTGGTTTTACATTTACATAAATGATTAATGACAATCAGGGAACATAATCAATAACAAGATGTCATGTGCATGTTTAGGTCAGAGTTTATTCATCAGTGACCTGATAGCTATCTGGCAAGGACACCTTTAATTGGTTTTTGTTATGCTATCAACTGCTTTTTTAGGGCAAGGTGTGCAATATTTAGAAGAAACCATGTCAGATGTCAATCTAACAGTGAAAGGTATCTATCGAGCCATATACTTTTTGGCCCAAATATGTTCTTCCTGTGGTATACAGGACCTGACAGTGTCATCCTGCAGCAGAGATCGTCTGCCTTTCTTTATTGCTTAGCAAATGCTCCTAGAATATCTTTCTTTATCCCCCCACTCCCTTTCTGACTAATCTCAGATCCACCCATTAGAGTTAGGATGATGAGAAAATGACAGAATTAAGAAGACAATTAAGAATGGGCCAGTGTGAATATTTGACCCCCCCCCCATTCATTTCTCAATGTCATTCCACGTTTTCAGCCCCCCAGTGGGTCAGCAGAAACTGTAGTACACCTTGGCTTAAGAAAACACACCTCTAAAGTTCCAGCTGTTTTGTAATGACCACATTAGATAAAATACTTTTAAAAGTTTGTCTTCTGAGTCACAAGCTTTGCAAGACTGACCATGGCGGCTCTTCATTTACACTTGGTGATTGACAGATAAAGCTGCAATTACGGCTCATATATATGCTACTTTGTATTTGAAGTCAATGCTATTCTAATATATATATATATATATATATATATATATATATATATATATTAATTAAAGGTGGAGAAATTTGTTTGTATTATTATGTCACCAATGTTTTATAATGGCCATGCCAGGCAGCATATTATCTAAAAGACACACTGGTGTTGACTGGGCTTGAGAGTTTCTAGATTAGAAGTTAAAATTCTAGTGAAAATGAATCAGTAGGAATCAGCTAGGATCTTCTCTTTCCTTCAGGTTTAGCATAAATTAACAGCTCTGTAGTAACAAGGTGCATGCAAGGTTTGAGGAGCAGTTGCTGAAGCTGGGACAAGGACTGCCTTTTCATTTCCATTCAGGACGACCTGTTCTGTCGTGAAGAAAGTGGCCAGTCTGTTATGGATCAGAGTCTTAGGGTAAAAGGGGAAGACTATAAACCAAATGGTAAGTGTTTTAGCTTCTCAGGCAGCCTGCACCCTGTTAGCCCACCACCCCAGCTACATACTTTTGGACTTTTTAAAATGAGAAATTTATAATCTGAAGAAGACAAAAGTTTTTCAAGATTGCTAGAAAGCCAGGCATGGTAGTGAAAGTCTGTCAACCCAGAATTTGGGAAGCTGAAGCAGGAGGATTACTGCTAGTTCTAGGCCAGACTGGGTTAAAGAGTAAGACCTTATCTTAAAATACCACATCACATACTGTGATATCACACCTCACCATACCACACCACACCACACCATACCTTACCATACCTTACCACACCACACCACACCTCACCACACCACACCACACCACACCACACCACACCTTACCACACCATACCACACCACACCTTACCACACCACACCACACCATACCTTACCACACCACACCTCACCACACCACACCACACCACACCACACCACACCACACCTCACCACACATCACATGGCTAGAGTATATAAATTTTTACTCAGGAGTTTCTGCTTAGGCTCTTTAATTTCTCAGGACCCAATTTCCGGAAAATTTGCTTTTCATTGCTTTTACCAGAGCAAAACCTTTCAAGCAATAGATACCCACACCTTTCCATCCAGGCTAGGACTATATAGAACAGGACTGTAAACGCCTATGCAGGATTTTCTAGATTTGAAATATTTCTGCAACTGGTAGTTTCAGATTAGTTAACATTTTGTGCCTCTTCCTTACTTTGAAATATTATAAGTAACTGGGATTTAGTGAACAGATAATTGACAACTACAAGTAACATTCTTTTATTTTTCTTTAGATTGAGATAAAATTCCATTTTTAAGGCTAAGTGTATTTAAGATAAATCTGAGGTATTTGTTAGTTCCTATGAAACATTTTGAATGTGTTCTTTTTTTCTTTGGAAACAATTGACTATAAAATTCATTATGTTAAGTGTTTGAGTTAGATCTCTTATTCTACACAATGCTTACTTGATAATGCATGGTCTTTTATTAGCATGCTTAAAGTTTAGTTAGTACTAAACTATCACTTAGACACTATGTAGAATGTTTGCCATCCTAACAAGTGGCTTGGGAGGTCCCCAAACCACACAGAAGAACATACCAGGTGTTTGAGAGGAAATTTGTTTGCCATTACTTTGTGTTCCTTTTCTACTTCCATTAAAACATGCTCTGCTGAAGGAGACGTGAAAGCCACCCATGCTTTTCTTCCTTGTTTTCCAGAATGCTTCATTTACATATTTATGGAAAGCATTTCACAGGGAAACATGCTGTGCTGTTCTCGCTCTCATTTGCAGTTTTTGTATTTTGTATCAGCATCCTTATTCAGGTTGGGGTACAGTTTTACTTTCTGAGATGAAAACACTGTTGTGCTCCCCCTTTCTGTTTTCTAGAACTTAGATCCTCAGTGTCTTTCGGATGTTCCCAGTAACTGTTATCTTTCTCATTTTCTTTTCTAGCGCTGAAGAAAGACGACACCACCTTTGATGAGGTAGGCTAAGTTTCTTCTTCCAACACAAAGGCATATTTATTTACTGTTAAGTAGAGTCCATAGGTGCTGACTTGGTGCTTAGAAACAGAAAACGATAAAACAAAAACAAACCCCCAAAGCTTAAGAAACAAGTAAGAAAAAACCCTCACAAGAAACGAGAAATAGTATTTGTTTATTTAGTTACTCCTGTTAGCCTCCAGTCTCAATAGTCATTTAACTGAGTTTTGTAGTAATCATCAGAGTTGTGTCTTTGAATCAATAAACAAAAGACACATGCCCGCCTTTGTGTTGTTGTCTTCTTGCTGACAGCTGTGCTTGGGAAGCCCACTGTGATGCGCATGTGTCGGGCAAGTCCAGAGCTGTTGATAAGTTGGACAGGAAGGCTCCTTGCCAGACCTTGATGAATCAGGTGTGATGTGTTGACGTCACAGATTGTCTGCAAGGCTCCCAAAGGAGAAGGTGACTTTTTTCTGTTCCAGTTTCTCTATTCTTTGTGGATCAGATGAGTCTCTGTTTACTTGCTACAAAGTAGTGAAAAAAAAAAAAAAGCCGAAGTTCGTATGAAACAAAGGATTCTGAGTGCAACTTTAACATTGTACTTCCCCGAGATTCTGTTACTGTTTTGAGGGTGTTACAGAGTGTTTTGTTGTAACTGATGTGTTTATAAAAAGATAAAGAGATTTAGAATATGTTCTGTGGGTGTGTGGTGAGGTAGAATGCTAGCAGTAACCATCTAAAGCCAGTCATGGGTGGATGCTCTGAACCCGCCCTGTGTGCACAGTATATGAAGTTATATGTAAACAGAGATGTTTCTATACTTTGTGCTTACCCCACAGCCTAATGAATGCATAGAATAGTAGGCTTTAATTGTTTAACGCTCTTAGATTCCATGATAAATGCTACCACCCTCCCTCTGCTGCAGCAGGGAAAGGGCACATGTGTTCCTGGAATGTGCTTGCCCTGTCTCACAGGGAGGGCCCTTCAGGGCAAGCCTGCAGGCTGGGATTTCTGGATGGGGCTAGTGCCATTTGGCTCTCATGGTCTGCTGCTTCATCCTAGCACCTGTTCCCACTTTGTGGTCCAAGCTCTGTAGAGCTGTGTCACTGGACTCCCAGGCAACGTTCTCAGACAGCGTTCCTATAATATCCTCCTAAAGTTAATTCCTCCACTCCTTTCCCATCCTTAGTAGGTAATAATGGGATTTCCTCCAAACCTGCCCTTCTGGAATTTCTACTGTTTCATTACAGAGATAATCTGCTTTCAAGAGAGTATTTTTTTTTTTCAGGAGAAATCAGAGTCAGAATATTGGACACCTTTTCTCTCCAAAAATCTTCCCTATAATTATGGAAGTAATTCAACCCTACATAAAGAGAGACTTAAAGAAAAGGAGAAGATAAAACTCTTCAATTGTGTTATCCAGATATACTCACTGTTGATTAGTCTCGCTTCTTTCTCCAAGTTTTAAAGCCATAGCTCATTATTATAGCACTTTTTTTCTGTAAGGCATGGTGTACTTCTCCATGTCTTCATGGGCTTCTCCTAGTCATTGTAAGGAATTAGGAAACAAAGCAAAGCAAAGCAAAGCAAAACAAACAAAAAGCCACTTCTTTGTGTGTTCACCATTGTATGTATGTTGGTCTATCTCATAGCTGTAGGTACAATTGTCTAACCATACACGTACAGCTGAGGCCGGAGTAAAGAGCATGTAAGCCTGTCACGCTGCCAACTACTCCTGACCTTACTTCTAAAAGCTCTGTGGAATCAGAGGTCTGCAGTTTGCCATTTGAAGCAAAATCGTCACCAGCTCACACAGAATTTTCTTTCTTCCATAGGATAGAGATCTTTTTAATCAATATTTTAAATCAGAAAGTCGGCCAATGCCTGAGCTAGAAGAATGGCGGACAGCATCATTTCCTCATCCCAGCGTGCCATAGATGAGCACGTTAAGATGCAGAGGCCCAGAGTAATTCTCAGCTAGTTAAGGAAAGCGGCAGGTCGGGATCTGGGGAGTGGCTGCAGTGCGGGCCTGCCTGGGGGTAAATGCCAAGGCATCTATCAGCCCTTGAGCAACTGTGACTCGGTCCACAGGTCTGCAAAGTGTTAGTTCCTTCCTTTTAGGTGACTGGAGTAGATGAAGTAAATCAGTATATACAGAGGCTTTAGAATACTACCTCGAACACTGGAAGTGGCAGAGTTTGTATCACCCTCCATGGCTGTCACCAACACTGCCTTCACTGCTCCGTCTTCTCCAGTTGGAAGAGTTACAAGGATCATGGAAGGGTTCAATCAGAAAACAAGGCTATAGAGGAGATTCCATTTCAAATATCTGTCTAACATTTCATGTAAGGCTTCGTGTAATGATCTGTGTATTGAGATGGTGAAAATGTTATCTAAAATCCACCTTTTAAAAAATCCTCCAGAAGGAGATGCCACATTCGCTGTTGTTACCCTTGGCCACAGTGCGTGTGGTTAACATTCAGTAATTGTCTGTAAAATATGAGCAACTGTCTGCTTGGGGAGCAGAGAGCGAGGAGCTGAGAGAAGGCAGCATGGCTTCTCATTTGCCACTTCTTAGCTATTTGGACACATTATTGACGTTCTCAGTCTTGGTTTTCTCATTTATAAGTCAACCAGTTAGACTGCTTTTCTAGATGCTTTGGGCTCTAGCGTAGGATTATAAGTGGCACGGTTAGCTCACATAAGAGTGAAATCTTACCAGGATCTCAGAGGAGCACTAGATGTGTGTCTATATAAATGGGAAGTAACAGCTTTTTGAGGATCATTTTCAGATTGACTTAGTAGAAGTTTTCTTGACTCTGCGTCTTTTTTTTCTTTTTGACAATTCCTCTCCTAGTGTTGGAATCTGCTCTCTATAGTCTTGGAATTCACTTGAGACTGTAATCTTGCAGCTTGAGGGCTGGGTCAGTTTCTTAGCTATGTAACAAGGTGTGGCAGCTCTCTCTTTACTCCAGTTTATGAGCTTCGGGCTCCTTATCACAGGGACCCGTCAGGAGATGTCTGCACTGGAGTGTGGGTGCTGCTCCTTGATTTGCTTGAGGATTTCTTTCAGGTGTGTGTAGATGTTTGACTTTGACCGGAGGAGGAAGAAAAAAGATGCATTAGTTATTTACTCTTTGATTGTAATGCTCTGCTGATTTTTAAAACAGCATGAAACTGTATTCAGAAACTATTGAAAGTAGATCTCGTGTTTGTGTGTGTGTGTGTGTGTATCTGTCTGTCTGCATATGTGTGTATATGTGTCTGTCTGTTCATGTGTATGCGTGTATCTGTGTGTGTGTGTGTGTCTGTGTGTCTCTCTGTGTGTGTTTACAAATAACCAGTTTGAAGTTAAGTATTGAAGCCTTCAGATATTTACAGTGATAGGTAGTGAATGTTGCTGAATCCCCTCATGGTTGGAGACAGGAAATTTTAAGGACCATTGGTAGCCCTTCATTCATTGTGTATTTATTGGGACAATGACTTAAATGATAGCCACTTTATCATCTGTGGATTGAATCTAAAAGGTTTGGATGGACTAATCAGTTTTAGGATTTCCCAAAAATGTTCTTACCAGATTTAAACTTACTTCCACAACCAACTGAAGTTTGGATAGGTAAATGCTGGCAGAACAAACCTACTAGATAGAAGGTAAAAGAAACCTGGTTTCTTCCAAAATTGTTCTTACTGGTCATGGTGGTAACACTGTGATGACCTCTCCCCTCAGTGCCTGAGATTCTGTAGAACTTCCTGAATGTCTCTGTGGCCACATTCTTCCTTATGTAGTAAACCTACACCATGCCTTTATGCTGAATATCAGTTTTTTATGGTTTCTTTTGAATAATTATGATGCCTGATATACAAACAAAGAGAAAATACAGTTATCCAGCGATGTAAAACTACCACATACAAAGTCTTACAAATGTTAGAGACAAAGGCCCCAGTAAATGAGAATGCGTCCACATAGAAAAGATTGAAAACCTGATGTTTCAGCAACCCACGAGTTGCCATTGATTAAATGAGAACTTAAATTGTATAGTCTGTTTTGTGCTGTTTTTTAAAAAAGAAAAAGCCCAGATGAGGAACAAAATATTGACAGTCCTTGGCTTTTTGGTGAGAAGTGTAAAACCTTTAGTGTTTGAAATAAATCTTTGAAATGTCAAGGGTTTCAGTTGAATGTAGTATGCAAATCTAGGTAACTCAGCGCTTTTTTTTATGGTGTTTTTTTTTTAAAGCCTCCTAATATATGAGCTTTCTTTGCGTGTTTGCTGTTGTCATAGTTGCAACTCCCAAGGAGCACCCAGGACTCATTTGGTATTTTCCACCTATTTAACTCTTGAAGTCTTAGAGAAATATAAACAATGTATACATAAAATGTCTTCATTAAAAAAAGAACACTTACCTGTGAGAACTCAGGAGTATATTTTAGAAGCCAACTTACATTACATATTTACTTGCAGATAGGGGGACAGTGTACCCCTGTTTAGCTTCCAGTCTAGAGCATGACCTCTGCTACTCAGATGATGATGTAAAACTTGAGACAGGAAGAGCATCAGTGATTGATGTTATGAGGTCACCAGGCTAGGGACAGGGATGTTGCTGGATCCTGATTTCCAGTCACTGTGACTGTGTCTCTCATTGGTGTGTGTGGGTATATACATGGTCTCCAGCAGTAGTCCACACGCAGGGTTTTCTTACTTCTGGAGCTCCAACCCACCTCCCCCCATCCAAAAGGGAAGTGGTCCAGTCTTCCCTTTTCATCTTCTGTTTTCTGCTGTTACCCCATGTGTTTCCCCCCATCCACTGCCCCGGCCCTGTACGTGGCCCTTCTTTCTTCTTAGGCTGGGCATCTCTCTTTCCCGCCAGTGCCCTCAGTGGTGTGCTCCTTGGCACGTCATATGTTATCTCCGTCAGCCTGGATTTTGACCTGTCGTCTTATCTTCTCACCTAGTCGCTGCCAGGAGCTGCTTGAGGAAATCTCTCTGCAAATAAATGTATCAGTT